CCATTTTTCTTTGGAAAACTGATCTTATCTATTTGTTAACTCATGCTGCACTAAGATTAACATGAAATCCAAAGGTCATATGTGTTCTGCAAAACTCGTTAGCTCTTGTATCCTACTACGCAAAAGGCAGAGTCATATGACTAGAGCACATGGTTGCTGGAGCTTGTTGTGATCGTGTTACATGAAAGAGCTAACGAGTTTTGCAGAACACATATGACCTTTGGATTTCATGTTAATCTTAGTGCAGCATGAGTTAACAAATAGATAAGATCAGTTTTCCAAAGAAAAATGGATATGTGGTCCTCATCAGTTATATACCAAATATCAGACCTTACAGTTCTCACTGTCACGAATGCGATGCTGATACAAAAATATTTTCTAACCTACAGTGTTTAAGGGTGAGACACCTCTAATCGTATACTTTTTGGCTTAGTTTTTATGATGCTGTTGAATATCAAAGACCGTTCAACTCAGGACAGCTTAGACTATAAACTTTGAAAGTTTCTGCTTGAGCCGATCACTTCTTGTATTACATGAGGAAAATACGGTGACCTGTTTACCATTATTATTTTCGGCCTTTTTTAAAAGTATTCTGATATGCGTTTTGGTATACAAGATGTGGCATCGAATGATCATTCAACAACAGGACAGTGTATAGTAGAAATTGATCGTTGTTGCAAATATTCATTAGCCACAAATTTTATCGTATGTGGTCGCATTGAGGCTTTTGAAGTGTGCAAGATGTCTAGAACTTTGCTTCTATTTTTGGATACATATAGATCCTACTCAGTCATCGTTATGGTAGTCGTGAATTACCTGCAACAATTTCATATCGTACATTTTCTGCTTTAAAATCATACCTGACAAATCTTTCATTGATCGAAGAATGGTACATTTTGGATGATAATCCTTTGGAACCTGTTTAGGTTCTACAACCAGTGCCAAGTTATTTACTAGAAAATGATGATGGAGAAGATTGGAAATATATCAAACAGAATATTCATTTAGATTTAAGACAAGCAGTTGATCAATCTTATACGAATGATAAAACAATAACGAAGGAAGAAAGAGATCAATTTATATCTCTGGTGAGTAACAATATGGATCTGGGAGATCTCATGAGGGAATCATTTTCTTTTGTACGGAAGGTCAACCGTGCTCAGCTTGTATCTTCAAATGGTTTTGGATCTTGCTTAATTTTACTAAACTTTTCAGAAAGCTAGTTTTCCGGAGGGTTGCCTTTTCAGGGATAGAAAATGTATTCGAAATGCTCCATTATTAACGATTTGATAAGAGGTAAATAAGAGAGTGTAAAGTTTATACACACGTCAAAACTCGGGTATAGGAGACTTCTGAAAGGTTCTATATTAGTATTTGGATAGAATAGTGCGATGCAATGTGAGACGCAGTAGGGCTTAGGCGTTTTGCAAGAAATGGCTTACGAAAACGGTGTCGGGGGGAAGGCGTTACCAATACTGGTGATACGGGAAAAGCCGCGTCGGTTCAAAAACTAAGCAAAACTAACACATTGCATTTATCTCATTTTGTAGAAGACACGTCGGACTATCTGTCTATGTAGTCACACAATAGTAGAGAATTTGCAATCGATGGTTACCTGACTTAGATAGTGACCTAAACTAGTCAGAATATAACAGAGAATTCGCAACCCATTCTTACCTAACCTAGATGGTGATCTAAACTCCTCAGAAAATAACAGAGAATTCGCAAGCGATTTTAACTTGAACTAGTGGAAGAAAGTAATAAACATTGTACGTCTATAGCCACCATGAAGACATGTTGCATACCGAACGATGTAGTTAAGAAAAAATGACTTTTCCATGATCTTGAGAAATCTTGATTTCTCGAGCTATTTATTTATTCTTTACTTGAAAGTAAAGACCCCGATAAATAGCGCAGAACCTGCTTTTTTATACGTACAAAGTAGGAATCAGACATAGTGAAAGTAAAGAAAAAAACGATAAAAGAAATGTTAATGTTATTTTTTGCTCATTTGCATCACGCGAGATAAACGATCAGCCGACAACGTTGAATTCTCATCTGTTAATAAATAACACCAATTTTCAGTTATTTTTTGTGAATTTTATCTATTTTCACTTATTTTCATCCTAAATTTCTATTTTGTACGTATAAAAAAGCAGGCTCTGCACTATTTATAGTATTTTTACTTGGTTTCTCAAACTAATCAAAGAAAATCGGTGAAACAATGAAAATCAGTAAAATTGGCGAAAATCCAAAAATCAGCTGTTTCCCGCTGGTAAAACGCCTGCACGTGTTAGTTTAGATGAAAGCAAAACTTTTGCTAAAGGTCAAATGACACATCGCTAAATGCAGTTTTTCACGCTGAGTATGAATATGACGTTACTGTTTGATGAAAAAGCTTTGTTAGGGACAAAAGTCGGGTTTTAATGTTCAAAAACCTGGTCTTTCCTCTAAACTTAAAAATCTCATATTTTTCTTTTCATACCCCTATACACTAACTACTTAACTACACGATGATGCAAAGATATCCAAAAAATGTTTCTTCTTCCGTAAGAAAAGATATTTCAAAAATAGCCGTAAAATCTAAAGATGATGACTTATCATTGACCAGGTGACACATGTGGTGGCATATGTGACTGGGGTCAGCAGTAGTCTGGACATCAACTTAAGTGATGACGTAAACCCGATATCTCTATCAGTTTACAAAGCTGAGATATTTTAATTTTATTGAAACCAGTGCCTCACGCTTCGGTATGCACCAGTAACAATACTTATACTGGTTGACTGATCAGTTTTTACTGGGTACCCAATTAACGGGTACTGGTGCATACCTACTCATGCTCAAACCGCTATTTTTGCCTCAGGACTAGTCTTAAAACTTCATAGCTCAGTACGCATACATTATTTTTTCAATCGCCAAACGTCATGTTACTCAGAAATATTTGCTCTTTCATATGAGATCGAAAAAAATCGAAATTGTTTTATATCCTGAACAACGTAGGTCGTGGCTTATGTGCAATGGCTAATAAGTAGCGCTGGAGTCATTTTAAGATGTAGTTTGTCTTTAAAGACAATCGACCGAGAGCAAAGTTATTAATATTAACAGAAACACATCCATTATCAGAAATCATAGTGTTAACATCAACTGATCCACTTCACGGTCAAAATGAATGTGTCCTAGAGCCACAGAATGAGTGAAACGATACCGAATATCAATGTCATGATCTAACCAGGCTCAATATCATTTGTTGTTATAACTGGATCAAACGCCAAATAAAGCGAAGAACAAACAATAACTGAGTATAGCGACTATAATAAGATCTTGCCGCGACTCGAATGTGATCGCGTTATGACACCGCGATTTCTGCATGACCGCGACGCGACAATAGCGAATGAACCGCGATCGCGACGCGAAAATAGCGGATGAAAAGAATCAACCAATGATAGCGACTTCATAGCCATCGAGAAAATCGCGACTTTTTTCGCGAGAATTATAGCGATAGCGTAGCGCGTTCGCGTCGCGACTTTTCATCTCGAGTCGCGCCGCGAATTCAACGTGACAGTCGATCTGGGTAGTGTTCTGAGCATATGCATTGTGTAGAAAATGATTAATCACGTCTGATAGCAGCTGGGTTTTTGGCATCAGGTATATGTTGTGCATAAGCAACAAAGTTACATTCGCAGGCGTAAAGGGTAAATCGTCTCATGAGAGTCGTTATTTGCGGATCTTTAGATCTACCGCATTGTATGTCTGCTACAACTGTCTCATTGTCTGATCGAAACAGAATCTTTTTTCCTCGCCAATGTCGGTCCCACAGTGATGCCGCTCCAACTAACGGCACTAGTTCATAGTATGCTATAGACAATCCTTTACGTACAAAATCCGGCCATGAGGCAAACCATTCATCTTTTCAATATCCGCCAAAACCAGATGATGCAGAGGCATCCGTGAATAGTTCTATATCACAGGCTTTAACGACTTTGGGATCAAAGAACGTTGATACACCATTCCAAGATATCAAGAAATGATACCAAAAGGAAAGATCAAGTCGACATGCTTTGAAAAGTGGCACCGAACAATGTAAGCAACCAACTGTACATGATAAACTAATAAGATAGGAGATAAAACTTCTGCCAGCTGGAATAACACGAGATGCATGTCTAAGATAACCAATAACAGTCCATAAGTCAGGCTTACTGCAGCGCTTCTTGTTCAAGTATTTGAAGCCGTCTCTAAAATATTAACGAAATATCGTTTCGTATTTCGTTTAATATCCGCCAAAATATTAAACGAAAAATGTACGACGAATGCTACACTTAATATTCACAAAATATACGATAAATGATTAGATGAATCGACGTGACAAGAGAAGAGATAATCGCCACTTAAAAAAATGGCCAGGCCCCCACTGTTAGTGCCCTACTCCTCGAAAGTAGGAGTGCATCGGTTATTTTTTCGTATTTTTCAAAAATTCACAATAAATGTTTTGTATTTTCATAAAAACGATTTGCAACATTTTTCTAAAACGGCAGTTTTGTAGAGAAAACATTTCTCTACA